CAATATTATCTTGCAGTTGCAAAGTCAGGTGCAGTCTATGGAACAACGGAGGCCGTTTAAAATGACAACATCAGATGCAGAAAGAAGACTACCGTTTCTGTAGAGGAGGAAAGTATGATTTTGACAGATATCTCAAGTGACAAAGATGAACCGGAAACGTCGAGAATGGAGCATGATGAAACGGGAAAATCAGGGTGAAGAAAAAAACGGAACGCAACAGAGGATGGAGCAGAAGCATGCATAAGTTTGGATACGGTAATGACGGTGTATGAAGAGCCAACCGTGGTACAGCCTGAAAACCCGAAAGATGTCGAGGCAGAAGTACAGCATACTGGAAAAAGTAAAAAATCGAAAAAAAAGAATGTTTAAGAATATTGAAATTAGAAATGTTTCGGAGCTAATTAGTTCACACTCATGTGTTGTTGTACATAATTAATGAAGTTGTGTGTTTCTTTTGCCATAATGTACTTTGACAGGGCTAATTTGGAAATGGAACAAGCAAATGTTTCAGATTTAAGTACTCTTTTTTCTAGAATTGTGAGAGTTCAATATGAACTAGTGTTTCACGTTTTTTTCACATGATTATCGTGTTTGAGGATTGCAGTTAACAGTGCAGTGTGACTTTTAGATACGTATGTTTTACTGCTGTGTATTAAACAGATATTGTTGCATTCGCACAGATATTAGATGAAGTCACCTTTACTTGTGTTTTTTTGAGAGGTATTGTTGTACTTTATTATCGTTGTAATAAACAAGACAACTTGAGATTCGAAATATTAATGAAAAAAGACAGGAGATGAGAATACAAATTTTTGAGTTTTTAAAGATGATTTTCAATCTGAAAAAGATTTTGAAATAAAAAAAAAAAAAATTACTTATAATCCCAATTTGTGTCTTGCTGTTTCATATTTTGACTTTCAAGAAGCCATCTTTATTCATAATTTGTTTTTAACTTTCCTTTTCAAATACTAAGCTGGCTATGGTTTTTCATCCACAAAAATTAAGCAAAAGTGACCTAAAATATTCATTTTTTTAAAAATTTTACAGCAAATTAGCAATAGCTGTCTATGAAAATCTCAGAATATAACAGCATCATATACATTGTCCCTATAAGGGTATTAAAAGAAGATAGCATTGGTTCAGTTTATAATACTTTATTTGCAATTATTAGGAACTTACTTACCTCCATGATCCATTCAAATTAAGGCGAACACAGCCTATTGTATCTTTTGAGATCATGATGTTTGAAGTAGCTGCAAACTACTTGCAAACGGTTTTTCTTTCCATGAAATGGAGCCGTAGACATCATAAATGGAGTATGTCCGCTGAAAGTTTTTAAAATAGAACAAAGGCTTAATCGATGTCAGGATAGCAAAAACGCAGTGAATTGAAGGCACGGATTACAAGAGGGGCAATTTGAAAACATAGTTGTTCAAACGAAGCTCAAAATACTGGGATGATCTTCATGAGGATTTAATTTAGAATGAGACCAAAACTAGATAAAAAAGTACACATTGAAGGCAATTCTACTCTCTAAAAGCGAAAAAACCCAGCATAATCAAGATGGCAAGAAAAACGAAATACCGAATATATTGAAGTCCACAAAAAAGAAGAAAAAGACCTTAGAAATGTTGTACTAAACTGGGCAAACATGACTTGGAAAATATATGACTGAAGAAAAACAATAATGTATTGGAAAATTCCAAATTCTCAATGAAAGATATGCAATAATACATATCTTCACAATCTTGGCACCCGATGTAAGGAGGATGTTTGAATCATTTATATTCAGCATTGTCAAATTACTGAAAGATGAGCAATTATAGCAAGAAAATGCGTTTACCTCATTTGTTCATAGGCCCAAAATCGATATCTCACAAACCTTAGTTAGGGTTGGTATGAGGGTGGGTAAATCTCACTATAAGAATTGAGTTATCCCTGTGATAACTTTTCCGACATCCCTAGGTTAAAACTTGTAAAGACTAAGGGATCGATAGGCCATGCTTTCACAGTTCGTATTCATACTGAAAATCAAAATCAAGTGAGCTTTGGCTTTTTTGCTCTACATGAGATTTCCGTTATCATTGAGCTCACCTTAGGACACCTGCCTTGTCATTTGACAGTCGTGCCGCCCCAGACAAACTCCGAACCTGACAGTGTATTTGGCTCGGATCAACCGGCAGAAGAGCGATCTTAATGCTAAAAAGTGGACGTTGAGGTCCAGCTCCGCTTCACCAAATAAGTGAAAAAACGATAAGAGTAGTGGTATTTCACCGGCGGATTGCTCCTCCCACTTATTCTGCACCTCTCATGTTTTTTCACAGAGTCAGACTAGAGTCAAGCTCAACAGGGTCTTCTTTCCCCGCTGTTGCTGCCAAGCCCGTTCCCTTGGCTGTGGTTTCGCTAGATAGTAGATAGGGACAGTGGGAATCTCGTTAATCCAATCATGCACGTCACTAATTAGATGACAAGGCATTTGGCTATTTATTTACCAGGAGCTTATAAACAATTAAACACATAATACAACACAAAATATATAAAGTATTAAAATGTAAAAATAAATTAAAAGCTCCGGCATTAGAGCCGCAAACCGGCTGACGTTAAATACATCATCATCATTATCATCTTGTCCTTTTCCCTTTAAGGGAAATTGGGCCTTCCGTTTTTTGTCTCCAAGTGTCCCGGTTTTTAGCGCAATTACTTGCTTCCATCCATCCATTGAATCCAAGATCACCTCTTTCCTTCTCAACAGTTCTTCTCCATGTTTCTTTGGGTCTGCCTCTCTTACGTCTTCCTTCAGGCGTCCAGGTTAGAGCTATTCTAGGGTTCTCATTTGCCTTCATTCTTAGTATATGCCCAATCATTTTCCAGCGTCTTCGCTTTATCTGATGAGAGATCTCCTCCATATTCGTCTTTGATCTTATCTCTTTGTTTGATACTTTCATGGGCCAGTAGATTTTTAAAATACATCGAAGGCTCGTGTGGAGGAAGACATTGAGCTTCTTCTCATCGCTTTTGATCATTCGCCAAGTTTCACAACCATAGAGTAAGACAGCCAGTACATTAGATCTAAAAATCCTCAACTTGGTGTTTATGCTGAGTTGACTGTTCTTCCAGATGTTCTTTAAGTTGCAAAAAGCTGCTTGTGCTTTTCCCAGCCTGGCGCTTATATCTTCACCTGCACCACCAGTTGCTGTGACTGTGGCACCAAGATAAACAAATTTCTCAACTTCTTCAATGTCACTTCCTTCCAGATGGATCTTCATTCCAGGATTGACATTCCATTTCATTACCATCGTTTTTCCCAGGTTAATCTTCAGCCCAGTCTTCTTCCCGTTTGTGTTAAGATTTTCGAGCTTCGTTTGCATGTCCACTATCCTGCTTGCAACAAGAGCCACATCGTCAGCAAAGTCTAAATCCTCTAACTTGTTCGTGAATTGCCATCTTATTCCAGTTTGCCTTCCTTCAAGAGTCCTTCTCATAACCCAATCAATCACTAGCAGAAAGAGAAATCCAGACATGCAACAGCCCTGTTTCACCCCTGTCCTTACATCAAACCAGCCATAACTTCCAGAACTATCTACAACAGCACATTTGCTCTGATCATACATTGCCTTTACCATCGTGATCAATTTTGAAGGAATACCATACTCTCCCATTATTCCCCACACAAAATACCTCTGTCAATGCTATCAAACGCTTTCTCAAAATCCACAAAACAAACATACAGGTTGGCATTCCATTCAATTACTTGTTCAATGATGTTTCTCAGAATGAATATTTGTTCCTCTTCCTCTTCTAAACCCTGCCTGTTCTTGTCTAAGCCTGGTGTCAACAGCGTCCCTAATTCTTATGATAATCACTTTGCCTAATACTTTTGCGGCCACAGGAAGCAGTGTTATTCCTCTCCAATTTCCACATTCTATAAGATTTCCCTTCTTAGGAAGGCGAATGATCAACCCACATCTCCAGTCATTAGGTACTCTTTCACTTTCCCAGATCTTCGACAACAATTCGTACAACACAGCTACTGTAGTTTCATTATCTGCCTTCATCAGTTCTGTTGTCACACCATCAACACCACCAGCCTTTCCGTTCTTTAATTGCTGTATAGCTTTCCTAATTTCTGCATGTGTAGCGGGACCTGTTTCAATTTCTAATGTTTCATAAGCAACACTCTCCACTTCCGATCGTGTGGGGGTGGTCTATTCAGGACTTCAGCAAACTGTTCCTTCCACATTTTCTTTACCTCTTCCTCTTTTGTTAGTAGGATGCCTTCTTTACTCCTTACTGAGTCTGTTCTTCTGTTTGGTTTGTTGCAAAGTTGTCTTGTAGCATCAAACACCGCCTTCATATTGCCTGTTTTGGCTGCTTTCTCTGCATCACTAGCAATCTGGTCAATCCAATTTCTCTTGTCTCTCCTAAGTTGCTTTTTTACGTCCTTGTCTTTAGCTTGGTATTCTTCTCTGTATGCTGCTTTTAGTCTCTCTGACCTGGTTGAATCCACTTTAGCTTTACAAGATCTTCTTTCATCAATTTTCTTCCAACTTGTAGCGCTTATCCAGGGCTTACTCTGTTTTTTTTTCTGTATCCTAAGACCTCCTGAGCTGTTTTCTGGTAACTTTCCTTTATATTAGTCCATCGAGTCTCTACATCTTGTTCTTTAACTTCTGTGCTTTCATCAGCTAAACAGCTAAATCTGTTACTCAACTTAATTTGAAACTGCTGTCTTACTTCCGGTATAATCAGTTTGGCTGTGTCATATCTCCTGGAATTCCTTACATTCCTAACTATCCCGCGCAAACAAAGTCGTACAGTTGTGATAACTAGGTTGTGATCGCTTCCACAGTCTGCCCCTCTATAAGATCTCGTATCCCTCACTGATCTCTTGCACTTGCCATTCATCGTCACATGATCGATTTGATTTCTAGTCTTCCCACTAGGAGCAGTCCAAGTGTATTTGTCGATGTTCTTGTGTGGGAACATTGTTGACACAATAGCTAGGTTGTTAGCTGCACAAAAGGAAACAAAACGAACACCATTTTCTGACCGCTCATCTCCAAGCCCATGTCGCCCCACCACACCATCTTCCCCTTCTGCTTGGCCCCGATCTTAGCGTTCCAGTCGCCCATCATCATAATCATGTCATGCCTTGGAGTCTCGCCAGTGACCTTCTGTAACATATCGTAAAAGCTATCCTTTGTCTCTTCGTCTGCCTCATTTGTTGGTGCATATACTTGAACCACTGTCGTTTTGATGTATCTTGAAGTGAATCGTGCAGTCATAATTCTATCACTAACTGGCATCCAGCTCTCTAAGCAACCAGCTGTTTCTTTTGTCATCACAAGTGCAACGCCACTTTGGTGTATGTTATCATCTCTTCTCGAATGCAGAATAGTTTCGCCAGTCTGTGTCTTTAGCCGTCCAGAGCCAGACCATCGGCATTCACTAATGCCCAGGATATCCAAGTTGTACCTTTGCATCTCCTTAACTACTTGGGCTGTTTTTCCCACGCTGTACATTGTCCTAACATTCCAGTTTTCTATACGGAGCATCTTTTTGGGGTTAGCAAATGACTTGATCAGAGTACAGGCTTCCTTTCGGATTGGGCGTGTACCAGTCATACTACTATCATTCCATTTGCTGTATTCATCTTCTGGAGTTTGGCAAGTCGTTGTACTACTCCCGAGATAACATTCATTGAGTCCAAAATTTAAGGTTTCCGTAATCCGGGTTTTTTTTACGAGAAAGGGTGATTGGCCCCATGGTCAACCTACTACCGGTAGGAACGGTGGGTTACTCTCTGTCTGGGCTCTACCTCTTGACCAATCCGGCAAGGTTGAACCTGCCAGGGACCAAGGTCCCAGCCAGCATAGCTCTAAAGGTCACTGAGCCTCGCAAGCTTCACCACCACGTCAAGGTGATAACCCATGTTGAATACAACCAATGAGGAATTCAAAGAATCCATAATTAAGAACGTCCTCGATATGTAGATCTACCAAAGAAGCAATGCATGTGAAAGGTTTCCTCGCATATCTGAGGGGCTAGTTAAGAGATGCTCCGATTGGATAATTTAAGCACCGTGCGAAGAAATTTGGAACTGAGAGGCGAGACACCCCGCCAATTAGCAGCAACCACAGAGAATGAAATGTCAGCCGTACCCGAAATGTTGCTGACCCATTCCCTAATCTCCGGTTGGTCATAATAGGCGATCTTATCACGGTGTGCTTTAACTCCCCCGACCTGGTCTGAGGTGATAGTGACATCTGCTACGTAGGCCTTCTCCTTATTCCAAAAAACTAGATCAGGCTTCCGAACACCCAGAGTATGACCAACGATCCTCGGCTCAACCATGACATTGAATCCCACTTGCTCAGCTGCAGCAGAAATGAACTTAACGACTTTATCATGGCATCTTATCCTCGGACCACTGGTTCTCGGACACACCTGTATTCTGTGCTGAGCCATCTCTGGACGCATGCATGAGTCACATTTTACATCTCTACCAGGGCCACCACGTGCTGCATGCACTTTTGAGAAAAGGGGTCTGCCTCTAGCTATAACAGCACCCATATAACTTACCCCTGATTCATTGTGGGATTGACGGATTGGACACCCAGCCGCTCGCAGCCACACACAATCGCGACTCTGATAGACCTCGTCCATCCACTTTGGTGTACAGACATGCAGCCCAGGCCTGTGCGAGGGAGTGCTTGTCTGTCACCAAACGCCCCTCCAAGGTCTTATTGGAGAGCTGACTCAACGACTTCTCGAAGAAGGGAGAGCCAGCCAATGCACGGGACAACGGGTCCATTGCAGATAAAATGGCCTCCAGACGACTCCTTCTCATGACAGGTATAGAATACCAAGAGAAAGAACGCTGAAACCACCGTCACTGATCCTAGTATGGAAGAAAGCAACCAGAGTGTCACCTGGCAAATTCAACCACTGACGTATGCTGGCCCTTATGGTAGTATCGAGCCAACGTAACCAACTGTCGCCCACTGATGCTAACACCAGCTCATGCAGGTCCGGGGCAAAAGAAATGCTTTCAAGATGTTAATCCTTTGCTGGGGCTTTAAAGGTGCCTTTGTGATGTTGTCGAGCCCTCGCACAAGTTCTTTGCGTAGCTCTTTTCGCACCTTAGCCCCACATGCCCCTAACATAATGCCCAAGTACCTGTACTTGCCAGTCGCGGAGAGAGATGGTATAACTCCGCTGTTAGTCGCCAGGAATGAGGTATGGTCAACGACCCATCGCTTCGCCTTACCATCGATTGTAATACTCAAGGAAGCTGACTGCCCATCAGTGCCTGCACTGATATTGAAGCCACCCTTCAAAAGGTGTGACTCGAGCTTCCCGAGCTGGGAACGGAGACCAGCTCTCGTTTCACCCAGCTAAGCAATGTCGTCGGCGTATCACAAGTTGTTAACACGGATATCGCCGAAGGAATACCCTAGATGGTCGTCTAGTGATGAGAGTGCCCAGTCTGTTACCGCATTTAACATAAATGGTGACAATGGGTTACCCTGCTTGACCCCTCTGCATGTGAAGATCGGGTTACTTCTTTCCCCGTTGTGCTCCAACACTGTGCTTGACCTCAAGTATAACTCCTGGATATAGGTAAGGAGGGGATCCGGACAGCCAAGACGACGCATTGCAATAACAATCGTATCATAAATGACGGAATCAAACGCCTTACGCACATCCAGGAAGGCCAAGTTTAGCGATTTTCGGCTAGATTTGGCACCATCAATGATAGCTTGGAGTGTAAACACATGCTGAGCAATCCCATCGCCACTCCTAAACCCCTTCTGCGTATGCTTCAGGGGAAGGCACGCATCAAATCTACGAGCCATAATCTTATGGAAGACTCGTAAGATATGAGAGGCTATGGTCATAGGACGGTACTTGAGTGCATCATTAGACTCAGAGCCCTTCGGAAGGTTTACCGTTCTGCCAGTGCATAAAGCACTGGGTTAACTTCCACATAGTAGCCACATATCTTAATTGCTACAAAGCTCTTCCATCCCAAGTCCAATGACTTCCTTCAGCCTCACCCCATCAGGGCCAGGTGCAGAAGTTGCACGCTCAGTTAACACAGGCTTTCACTCGCCAGGTCCATTGCACTAGTCCAATGCGTGTGACCTGTCAATTGTCCTTGATCGATGGAGTTTCAAAGATCAGCTGCCAAGCCACACGAAATTGCTTCAACGTAGGGACTCCACAGATCCGGATTAACCCAGGACCCGTCGAGAACCCTATGCACAAAGGCAGATGGATATTGGGCACGTCTACGCCTTCTAGGATCCAGCGAATTGGATCTGGATTGGCTAGCAGCAGCTCGACGACTCCTAGTTGGAGCCTTCTCCCCACGTACTAAATGCCCAACACAAGACGCAAACTCCTCATCGAACATATCCCGAACAGCCTTGTCAGGGCAACCAACAACCCAGTCCAGATCATCAACTCCTAGGTGTTCGGTGTTGATGCCCCATCTCAGTTGGTCACTCCACTCAGCCTCCGAAACATCAGGCACGGGTCGCCACATTCTGAGGAGAAGCCCCGCATACCATCCCTTCCCGAGCCACCTCCTCAGCCTCTTCAGCCTCCAGTGCTGCGAGAATCTTGATATAGCGGGAGTCATAGTTACTCCCGCTGTTTGCCCGCGCTTGGATGAATTACTTCAGTTTGACATTCAGAGCACTGGGCAGAAATCACATTGCGTCAACACCAGTCACCAGCCATCACAATGCTTTGTTTTAATTAAACAGTCGGACTCCCCTTGCCCGTTCCAGTTCTAAGTTGGTTGTTAAATCGCCTGCCGAATCGACCTGACGGTCACAGCTGAGTCAATCCACGCGAAGTCCCTTCGCAGTCGACTTCGACGCGCAGCAAGCCACGCATCTCCACCAGCCCACGCCAAGTCCTCGCGCTTCAAGTCCCAGCCCGACAGACCCAACCCTTAGAGCTAATCCTTTTCCCGAAGTTACGGATCTATTTTGCCGACTTCCCTTACCTACATTGTTCTATCAACTAGAGGCTGCTCACCTTGAAGACCTGCTGCAGTTAGGAGTATGACCAGACAAGATAATGAACGACTCGCTCGGATTTTCAAGGGCCGTCAAAAGCGTGATGGACCCCAAAAAAGGTTTGGGGCTTTACCCGACGTGAAACCCTATCTTCGGCTAAACCGATTTCAGGGTAATGTTGCCTGTTAAAAAGAAAAGAAAACTCTTCCCGGCGCTCTTGCCGACGTCTCCCAGTTTGGTTGCGTTGCCGCTTGTGGGTGGCACCACTAGGTGGCAGTATCCCTGTTCTGGTTCGGGAATATTAACCCGATTTCCTTTCGATAGGCGGTCCGCGAATGGGACGCTTTGTAACAGAATTTCCCTATCTCTTAGGATCGACTAACCCATGTCCAACTGCTGTTCACATGGAACCTTCTCCACTTCAGTCTTCAAAGTTCTCATTTGAATATTTGCTACTACCACCAAGATCTGCACCGGCAGCCGTTTCACCCTGGCTCACACCAAAGGCTGCGTCACGACCGCCGCAACCTGCTACTTGTCGGAACGTCGCGCTTGCTCCGACGGCCGAGAATAAAGTGCGACGCTTGAGCGCTAGCTATTTTCAGGGCTAATTGATTCGGCAGGTGAGTTGTTACACACTCCTTAGCGGATTACGACTGCCATAGCTACCGTCCTGCTGTCAATATCAACTAACACCTTTCGTGGGATCTCATGAGCTTCGACTTTGGCACCACTGCCACGGCTACCGTCCTGCTGTCAATATCAACTAACATCTTACGTGGGATCTCATGAGCGTCAACTTCGGCACCTTTGGTTCATCTCGCAGCGCCAGTTCTGCTCACCAAAAATGGCCCACTAAGAGCTCGCATTCGAGTGTCCGGCTGCAATCGAGCAAGTCGGACTTCTTACCAATTTAAAGTTTGAGAATAGGTTAAGATCGTTTCGAACCAAAGACCTCTAATCATTCGCTTTACCTGATAAAACTGCATGTATGAACTCCAGCTATGTTCAGAGAAACTTCGGAGGAAACCAGCTACTAGATGGTTTGATTAGTCTTTTGTCGCAATACCTAAATTCGACGATCGATTTGCACGTCAGAATCCCTATGAGCTTCCACTTCCGCTGGCTTCATCCTATTCAGGCATAGTTCACCATCTTTTGGATCCCAACAGATACGCTTTTACTCAAACCTCTATGAGAGCAGAGAAGGTCGGTCGATAATGCAGCGACGAATGTGAACACCGCTTCTCACCTCAACCGTCCCAGAACGGCCTTTACTTTCATTGCGCCCACGGGTTTCGATCACTTGGAGACTTGCGCACATGTTGGACTCCTTGGTCCGTGTTTCAAGATGGGTCAGATAGAGCCGTATGGTCGTCAGCATCCTAGGCGCGTAGTGTGTGAACACCATCATGATCGACAGGCAGCGGTTCAAGCGCACAGGCGTGCCGTCCGCCACGGTCGACATGCTGGACCGATCGGTTGGGTCGCCAGCCGAGCACGCGATACAGACAATGGTTGGTACAGACTATGCGAGCGCAAGTCTCAACAACCAGCTGTGAGGCCGGTTACCTTCCATGCGACCTTATCGCGCGTCGACAACCGACGCTGAAGCTCGCTCGCCAGAAGTGTGCCAACCGCGCCCGAGTGCGCCTTGTCCACGCAGATCGAGAGCGTGACCGTCGCAATGCGCGAGCGACTGAATCTGGCTAACTCCATTGGCTTCCCTTTCGACGGTTTCACATACTCTTTAACTCTCTTTTTTAAAGTCCTTTTCATCTTTCCCTCACGGTACTTGTTCGCTATCGGTCTCTTGCCTGTATTTAGCTTTAGATGGAGTTTACCACCCGTTTTGGGTTGCATTCCCAAACAACCTGACTCTTCAAAAGCACATCACAAGCGCTCGAGCATTGCCACGTATGGGGTTGTCACCCTGCTGTTTCAAGCAACGTGCTGACGTGCTGTTCCAAGCAACTTGGGAGCCTCGTTGTGCCGGGAAAGTACTTCTCGAGACTACAATTCGCTGTTGCAACACAACAGAGATTTTCAAGTTGAGCTGCCCACAGTGTATGCCGTAGCGTATTTCTTTGCTCCAAACTCGTTCCCTTTTGTTTTGTTGTATTATTGAACGTTAAACTATAGAGATCAAACGCAGTGTACCATTCGTCCCAATAGACCATTTAGATAATTTCTTCATTTGGCCTGTGTGCGTCGTTATCATTTATGGCGAGCCAGTCACGTTTGGGTTTTGATTCAGGAAAGCGAGGCTCCCAGGGTCAGATACGTTGCGTTGCTCGCAGGGCAGTTGCTTATCAGTTACGATGATACACTGGATATAGCTGACTGCCATACTTTTAGCTAGTATAGACAGTTTCTTCATTGATATCAGGAAAATAATGTTGGAAGAAGTTAACCTATATAATTGTAAATAGTTATTATTAAAATGGAAAGCAACCTTTAGTAATGTTGGTCACCACCATCATCTTCATTTTCCTGTATTAGATTCATAATGTGCATTTCTCATTTACTTATACAGCATTACGGAGTGTATGGAGCTCTATCTGGCTCTTGTCAGTCGAGTATTGCATTTCAGGCGCGATCTGATTTTACATAACAAGAACGACAAGACTTAAATGTTACCATACTTTTACATATAATTAAAGATAAAAATGATCAAAAAAAAATCTGTTGAAAATTGCCGATCGAAATCGCAATAAAACTAAAACCGTTCGTGCCGTTGGCTGTAAGTTGTGACTACTTAGTCTTAGAAAGAATCAGCAAAACATTATTAATTCAAATACAATACCATTCATTGAGTTTCAAGTTGCTTACATCAAGAGAATGGCAACATGTGCATGCGCCAAAAACACCAGTGCAAGGTAAGAAGACAGACAAATTACCGATAAATGTCCTTATAATCAAAGTTACTTTTATTCGATTAGTCTAAAATTTTACAAACAAGTTCAGTTTATGGATGAGAAATCATTTATAAACTTTTGTATCTCAATTTGTTTTGCTTCTATGGGGACTATTTCATGCACACCATGTCTACATCATGTTATGTATATACGTAATAGCGAAAGTTGTCCTGAAATTTATAATCAAAGTTACTTTTATTCGATTAGTCTAAAATTTTACAAACAAGTTCAGTTTATGGATGAGAAATCATTTATAAACTTTCCTATCTCAATTCGTTTTGCTTCTATGGGGTCTATTTCATGCACACCATGTCTAGATCATGTTATGTATATACGTCATGGCGAAAGTTGTCCTGAAATTTATAGTCAAAGTTACTTTTATTCGATTAGTCTAAAATTTTACAAACAAGTTCAGTTTATGGATGAGAAATCATTTATAAACTTTCGTATCTCAATTCGTTTTGCTTCTATGGGGTCTATTTCATGCACACCATGTCTACATCATGTTATGTATATACGTAATAGCGAAAGTTGTCCTGAAATTTATAATCAAAGTTACTTTTATTCGATTAGTCTAAAATTTTACAAACAAGTTCAGTTTATGGATGAGAAATCATTTATAAACTTTCGTATCTCAATTCGTTTTGCTTCTATGGGGTCTATTTCATGCACACCATGCCTAGATCATGTTATGTATATACGTCATGGCGAAAGTTGTCCTGAAATTTATAGTCAAAGTTACTTTTATTCGATTAGTCTAAAATTTTACAAAAAAGTTCAGTTTATGGATGAGAAATCATTTACAAACTTTCGTATCTCAATTCGTTTTGCTTCTATGGGGTCTATTTCATGCACACCATGTCTACATCATGTTATGTATATACGTAATAGCGAAAGTTGTCCTGAAATTTATAATCAAAGTTACTTTTATTCGATTAGTCTGAAATTTTACAAACAAGTTCAGTTTATGGATGAGAAATCATTTATGTTTGTTAAGTAAATGAGTCAAAATGAATCACAATTGTGACGAATTTGCAGATGACATTTTAATGAATTACTCTCTGTCACGATGTTACGACTGATAGCAGACCTATCAAGAACAAGTACGTAACCAAGTTACCGACGTTTTAGGAGCGCAGTGATCTACGTTCTAGACTTGCTTTCAGGTTGCTTTTTCAATACAGAACATATATATTAGAGTATGAAAAAAACAACGATAATTCTCTTATACCTGTACACTCCATAACAGATTCTACCACAAGTTTTCGACGAGCTACCAAGTTCCAAACTTGAAGAAAGACATGTTATACTTGATATTTTATTCGTCTCACAAAGATATGACGAATGACTGTAGCGTAACCAGTCTGACAATTTGGGCGTGCTATGCAAATTTCAGAAATCGTTATCATCGTTCAATTCTTTAGAAATTGTTGTTTACAGTCTATGAACAGGAATAATAAAGCACAACCAAGCTGTCGGGATGGCTACACGCCACTGATTAGACAATTATACTGTACACTGTACAGGGTGTCTCAAAAAAGGGAACTTTGAATTTCAGTACAATACATAATCTAATAGGATGTTTGAAAGAAAATGCCAATTTCTATGTATTGAACTCGAAATGGTTCCTTTTTGGGACACCCTGTACAGTGTAGAGGAAGTATTATTATTTAATATTTAAAACAAAGAAATTGTTACCTACGTTACGTAGACGTTCGAGGTTTACTTTTGTACCTCGTAATTTGTTCAAGTCATTCATTCATTTGTTCAAGATTTTAAAATTATCCACTTTATTAAAAGCGGTCAGCCGTTAGCCATAAATGTCAATTTAAAGGCCTATTACCAAAAAGGTTTACTACCTTTCGCTCTTCAAGGTGTATAAAAACAAGGTGTATAAAAACGCAACATTAAATATTTATGATGTTTGCTTTCAGTTTTATCTCAAAAGATCGTAGGCTTCAGGGAATATGAGATGGCTTCTAATTCTAGGAGTAAAAGAACTAATGAAAACTGTGCAACTAAGGCTAGTTTCCAACGTCGAACTTTTCGTGTGCCGAATGCATTAAAAACAATAGATAAACAGTTGAAGGCCCTCATTATCTATTGTTTTTAATGAGTTCGGCGCATGAAAGTTCGATGTTTGAAACAGGCCTAATTACGATACACTCTGATATAATGAATATTAAGTGTTGTGTTTTTCAAGACACCCTGTAGAAATGAATAATGATAATGATTTGAAATTCTTCGTTTGCACTGCATAAATTAGTGGCCATGTTGGAGGAAACATCAAAGTACCGACGCTCCACAGAGCGTATAATTTGTGCAATTTCCTTTCAATTTTCCTCCAACATGGCCACTAATTTATGCAGTACAAACAAAGAATTTGCATAGCATGACCAAATTGTCAGGCACGCTATGCTACTATTTAATGAACATTGGTATAATAGACCTCCTCAGCTTCGTTTTTGTTTACACTTTTGAAATATGTGAAATCGTGGGTTCTTTTTAATTTATTCATATTCAGAAACCAACAATGCATTCCGGATTAGAATGACAAAGAGACCAAAAAAAAGCATACCAAGCTAAGGAGGTCTATTGGTGAGCAATGTTTCAGTTAGAATAACTATCCTCTTCTGCAGTCTCATCGTCCATTTCATCATCGTAATAATCATCATCATTGTCTGTGTCATACTCTTCAGGGACAAAATTAGTTCCGCTACAACACTCACTTAAGTACTGCTTTGCCTCGTCACTTATGGATATCGATCCGTCAAAAAGATTACACGCAACAAACAAATTTAAGCGCTCAATATCAAGCTCTTTTTTGTGCAAGGCGTACGACCCCTTCATCATATACGGGGATGGAAATAAATTGTTATTCTCTAGCTGTTCCAAATGGCATTCGATATTCTTGCATGAATTATGAAAATCTTTTACACAGCTCGCCATTTCCTGTGCAAGGATCTCTTGTTCTTCAGTACATCGTTCGATCATTGCACGCGCATCAATTGCTGCTCGTTTGATGGTGACTGGAATGGTGTCTTCGTTTGGTGCATTGATTGCGTATATGTGACTGTCTACGTCACTAGCGTCTTCCCAACAAAGAAATGGAAATTGCTCGTAACCATTTTGCTTTAAAATCTCAATTGACGAGATGTATTTTTTTAAAAGCTTCCTCAGATTGCCACTTTCGTTCGTAATGCTTTTTGAAAGACTCTTGGCTTGAGCTTGTCCATCTGCAATGAATTAAAAATTTAATGAACTGTGCGCAAAATATTACATAATGAGTACCGTCTGCACGGTTTAATCACCTGCGTATTTTTTTTCAATGACAAAAGAAACCATCTTCTTCGCCCACTGATCAATATCATGTCTAATGTCTGTTTAGCATTTACTGCTTCTTGTGTTCTTAAAGTAGACAAATATTGTTCGCTAGTTGGCGTCCATCTACTCTGAATACCATGTTCTGTTTCCATTCGCAGTAAACGATTGTTTAAGCTGAAAATTAAACCATGTAATTGAGAAATAAAATTAAATAGAAACGCACAAGCCATATTTCTTTCACTCTTTTATTCTACTCAATGGAATAAAACACATTCTACATAATTACAGTTAACATTATATTACGGTAAGGTGTCTTTTTCACTGTAATAGCTGTTCGCTTACCTGCTCATTACAGCCATAACATGGTTATAGCGGCTGTCGTCGACACCCTCTGACACTTGATTTCTAGAAACAAGGAAGAATACAATTTATAATACTATTTATAACGTCTTTATCATCAAGAATCCAACCGATAAACCGTGATTTCGTTATAATTTTCCTTTCAATATTCTTTGATAATTATGTGTTATGGTTTCTTATATTGTACGATTTTGTTTACCACAAACAACATACCTTGCAGAGTAATACTGGCGCAACAGGGAAAAATATTCTAAGACCCAATTGTGCGGACCTAAATCAACTATAAACGATAAAGATTTTCTATATTAGGTGTACATGTAAATACAAAAGTTCTAAACTAAAATCGTGTTCACAATAACAAGAATGTTAGCGCTTTCTCTCCTATACCATTCCCGCCTTGAGAAAACAATCGCATATTAAATATACCCAATCCACATATCGATGTACCTTCTTCTGGTCTGGACTTTCGTAAATATTCCTTTTCACGTTGCTTCCACTCCGTGACCATTTCGTCAGTGACGGGGACTACACGATAGCATAAAGTGGTTCAATGGTTAACAAGTTGAACTATAATTTACACTCCACTTATTTTTGGAACTAACTTGATCTATGATTTGAGTTTATAAGTTACACATATAATACCTGGAGTTTTTTTTCGCAAATCTTCAAGTTCGATGCACGCTGAATTAGAGAGCTCTTGACATCTTTTATGCTGCACACGCAATAATAATACTAGAAATTGAAATGAAACAGTGATGTACACTGTACAGTAGTTCAAATTTAAAAATCTGTATTATATAAACTCCATTGTGTTAGTCTTGTAAAAGCTACGTAGAAGAGAAAGGGTAATTACCTGTTTTCAATCTTTGACGTTTTGTGTAGTAGTATAGAGCATCTGAAAGAATATCCTCTCGATGACTGGCAGACATCTCTTTAGTCATTTTGCGAAACAATCTCAGATATGACTAGAGTCTCTCAAGAACTTCTCCATCAATCAAACCCCATCCATCAAGTCTTCTTGGGCTGTACATTAGCTGTTACATGTACAATTACAGTGACAATTACATACGCAAATATTCAAGATTTCCTATGAAAATGAAGTGCATGTTCCACGCATACTGCACATGTGCGGTGGGTTTTGGAGCACTGTACAATAATGTAAACAATGAACTAATGCTGTTAGTACTATTTTTGTACACTCTTTAGAGTCCAATAAAAGGCTGTTGTTGTTAATTGCTAATATTATTTTGAAATTCATGTACCTGACAAGTTGCACCGTGTCCATACACGTGAAATTGAGGGCAAGCTAACTTTATACAACTCAGTAGCTCGTTATTATTTTGCTTCTATAAAAATCAAAACGCTAAATTGTTAACAACGCTTTTACACTGAAGTTTGTAGGCAATATTAAGAAGTGGTCGCAAAACCAACAACCAACAGCAGCACGCTTACATGGTTCATTATACTGTACGCTTTTCAAAAAATATTTCGCAAATCTACTGTACTGTACATATGGTAATAGGAATACGTACTTTAAGATGACTTTCAAGAAGACAGCAAATATCGTACATGAAATGTACAGTTACACCACTCTTAGCAGTTCTCGTTGTTAAGCAACTGAGTAAGTATACACCGTATGCAAGTCTACAAAAATTAGAGAACATATGGCATGTGCATTTCTTCGTGAGAGAGAAGAATACCATACAGTAACTTATCAACTGACGAAGGAGATGTGACTCTCTTAGAGAACATGAGCAATTCGAACACTTACAAAGATACAGAAATTGCAGGATTAAAACGTAGAAAAAGATATCAAACCAAATACCTTTCTCCGCCCTTTAAATTTAGGAAATCCATCGGAATTCCATGTTTGCATCCCAACCCACAAACTGCAGTCTCATCTAGGGCATAATATTTGCCCTTGGACACCATTTCAGAACCAGCCTGAAAATCACTGCACTCCTAAAACATGGATAACTTGGTAACGTACTTGTTCTTGACAGGTTGATATTCAGTAAGAAGCATAAGAAATGTACTGTGCAGACGTTTCACAAAAAGAAATACTGTATTAATATTTTGAAACGAGTTTGGTCCCATCACATCATTGTGCGAACAATTGCTTCAGTATAATTTGCCACACCAGGCAAGCTGGGAAAAAAATAGGTTGACTCGATGTAGCAAATGATACTCAGAGTAGCAATATCTTCATCTTATAGACCTGAATGCAGTTCAATAACCTCACATAAAATTCACAGCTCAGTTAGAATCACTGTACCTTGTTACCACGTGAGTTTCCAGAAGCAACTGGATATGAGGATACAAATTCATCCACTTTGTCTTGATTATGGAAGAACATGTTATCACTCAAGGGTTCGCGATAACTCATTCCAGATGTCTTCTTTCTTGGCAAACCGAAGCATGCATCCAGGGAGACAAACAGTTTTCCATTTTGATCCTCAAAATTTGATTGAATATGCAAAATGTCTATTATTAACAACTATAATTTATAAAAACTTTTGTATCTGTACGGGTATGCCCAACTTTGCGAGTGATTTGAACTCATAATAATCTACTAAAATGCACACAATATTATGGTTATAGAGTAGTAACTCTGTTTCACATCTATTTGTTTTTTTTTGGTACAGTATGTGTCTCAACTGGGAATCGAACCACAGTAAACTATTGCCATAGTGAGACTTATTTTGTACTACATGAAAATGCCTACATCCACAAAGCTACTATACATGTATCATATCAGAATCCAAGAGAAAAACAACAATATAACATACAATACCTTTGGACATGCTGGACAACTTGGTGCAAGAGCTGTACCAGACTCGCTTCCACAGTCATAAAATGGTGTTGTTTTTAAATTGAATCTACAACAAATCGATGTAATTAGTGAGAATGGAAGTTTATCTGTGGGTTGCAATGCATTTAACTGATCTAAGGTCTTTTGACAGACTTGACTTTCACCTTAACAAGAGTTAACTTACAAGTACGACTGGTATCGTTGCTCACAACTTATGATCTATGTAACATGGGTGGCACAGAGTTACTAATAAAACGTTGTTCAAGGTCAGAGGCAACTTGCAAAGATTTATATCTTAATTGCACATTTTAACCTAGCAAATGGACAGACAGCATAGACAATATACCAGCCTACTACATTAGACTAATTATAAAGTATACACTGGTATTTCACCTGAACTCTTCAAATGCATCAATAAATTGCTCATAAACTTTTCTTTTCTAAAGGACAAAGACAGAGATTATAACACACAATTCACTGCATGGGTTGATATTTCTTGATTTCTTGGAAAACACAAGGTTTTACTTTCTTGATAGAGTTTTTATTTAAATCTAGTTTACCAAATTAGGAAGAAAAGACAAACGTTTTATACAGATGTTCAATACATTTTTGCTTACAAAATAATCAGATCAAATTAAAATTTAATTCATACTAATAAATATATTATACTAAAATACACTATGTAGCCATTAAATTAGTGTATGTATGCTAGGCAATTTACCTTGCACATAACCATTAACCAATACATGCAGTGCCTTTAAAAGAGGAGTCTCAAAGAAATTCAGTGCTTTTGACAGGTCATAGATTGAGACATGACACTCCATCATCAGGGATAAAGTCAGCTCCATTAACCGAACTGTAAAAGCCAACGTTGGCTCCACAGGAGTAGCAGGCCACAGACCATAACAAAGCAGACTTTCTGGGACACTCACACAAGTACAATATTCAAATTGCACATCATGATGAAAGCCTATATAGGTTATTTACAAAATATTCGAATACATGTTTTCATCAAAGCTGCATAACCAATTAAGATGGCAATTTCTAATGATAATAAGGTGTACTGTATATGTTATGAGCAGAAGCAGAAACAGCTAGGTCAACAAAACACTGTTTTCTTCAGTCTCAATAAATAAGAGATAGAATAATTAATATATTATATCAACATACTATTGATGTCAATTACAGTAATTGGTCTCAGATGTGTATTACTGCAAACATGTATAGGATGCCGTAATGTTCTCTCTGGAACTTTGTGGTGAGTCCAACCACCTCTCTGTTATATGAAAAAGTACAAATCTGTAACCTTAATACAAGTGAGTAATAAAATGTTCCTACAAGCCTTCACTCCGACCTTCCTAACTATACAGAAGTTGCAGCAAAGAGGATATATAATGGTCTTGTGAATAAATTGTTAGCTATTACTCCCTATACAATGCATTTATATCCAATACTGTATATCTGGAAAGATTTCATCTTGAGACATATCTACTTGCCTGACAACTTTATGCACTTACACTTAATAATTCTGTTAAGTGGAACTGACATTTGTCTTTGTGTATGGAATTGCAACAATTCAGACAATTATATGCCCCGTAACCACAGTCACGACAATGTGTTTCTGCTGTTTCTGTGCAGCCATTTTCAATGCAGTTTGACGGTGCAAAACCTTCTAATTGCAGAGAGGTTTGCATCAGTCATATGCGAATTTTCTCCCAGTTCGGAGAAAGCCTCGTTCTTCGTGCTCTATACGATGAATTTGTGGGCAAATGACAATTACTCTTCCATTGGTTATCTAAGAATTCAACTTGTTCTGTTGTACTGCTACTACAACTTTGATCATCATAAGTTGCCGCGTTCTCACTAGTTTCCTTATCTTCGTTTTTAGATATCGGTGCAGGAAGTTTAATCATTGACGATTTTTTCTTCGCTACATCAACAATGCGAAAGCTAGAGTTTCCCTTCCTTTTCCCTGGTTGAAAGAACATATTAATATTTAAAAAATTAACTCTCAAGGAAAACAAAAATGGCGCTGTTTATTTTGAATACTAAATTAGGTCATGAAAGTGCGCCAATTCCGCCACCCCCTGGTACATGGGACTTTAGCATTACAACCCAATAACTTATTGCATACAACTGGTTTACAGTTAAAATAGATTATTGGTTACCTTCAACCACTGACGTATGCTGGCCTTTATGGTATATCAAGCCAACGTAACCAACTGTCGCCCACTGACGCTAATACTAGCTCATGCAGGTACCGGGGCAAAAGAAATGCTTTTAAGATGTTAATCCTTTGCTGGGGCTTTAAAGGTGCCTTTGTGATTTTGTTGAGCCCTCGCACAAGTACTTCACGTAACTCTTTTCGCAACTTAGCCCCACATGCCCCTAACATAATGCCCAAGTACCTGTACTTGCCAGTTGCGGAGAGAGATGGTATAACTCTGCCGTTAGTCACCAGGAATGAGGTATGGTCGACGGAGACCAGCTCTCGTTTCACCAGCAAAGCAATGTTGTCGGCGTATCCCAAGTTGTTAACACGGATATCGCCGAACGAATGCCCTAAATGGTCGTCTAGTGATGAGAGTGCCCAGTCTATTACCGCATTGAACATAAATGGTGACAATGGGTCACGCTGCTTGACCCCTCTGCATGTGAAGATCGGGTTACTTCTTTCCCCGTTGTGCTCCAACACTGTGCTTGACCTCAAGTATAACTCCTGGATATAGGTAAGGAGGGGATCTGGACAGCCAAGACGACGCCTTGCAATAACAATCGTATCATAACTGACGGAATCAAACGCCTTACGCACATCCAGGAAGGCCAAATTTAGCGATTTTCGGCTAGATTTGGCACCATCAAAGATGGCTTGGAGTGTAGACACATGCTGAGAAATCCCATCGCCACTCCTAAACCCCTTCTGCGTATGCTTCAGGGGAAGGCACGCATCAAATCTACGAGCCATAATCTTATGGAAGACTCGTAAGATATGAGAGGCTATGGTGATAGGACGGTACTTGAGTGCATCATTAGACTCAGAGCCCTTCGGAAGGTATACCGTTCTGCCAGTGCATAAAGCACTGGGTTGACTTCCACATAGTAGCCACAGATCTTAATTGCTACAAAGCTCTTCCATCCCAAGTCCAATGACTTCCTTCAGCCTCACCCCATCAGGGCCAGGTGCAGAAGTTGCACGCTCAGTTAACACAGGCTTTAACTCACCAGGTGTTACCGGATACAGCAGGTTCCATTGCACTGGTCCAATGCGTGTCACATGTCGATTGTCCTTGATTGATGGAGTTTCAAAGATCGGCTGCCAGGCCGCGCAAAATTACTCTAAGGTAGGGGACTCTACAGCCTAGTCTGGGCAACCAACAACAACGCAGTTCAGATCATCAACCTCTAGCCTAGGTGTTCGGTGTTGATGCCCCTGTCTGAGTTGGTCACTCCACTCAGTCTCCGAAACTTCAGAGGCAGGGGTCACAACGTGCTGAGGAGAAGCCCTGCATGCCATCCCTTCCCGAGCCACCTTCTCAGCCTCTTCAGCGAGGCTTGCTACCACGGAGCTCCAACTCAGCATGGGCAACTAGGACCAGCTCTTCATGGGACCATCTGGGATGCCTTTCAGCATGGTACACATCTGGGTGCTGACATTGACGATGGATATTTAGACCTCTTAGTCCTTTAAAGGCACTACCACAATCGGAACACACTTCCATCGCATTATCGTTCGCCTGCCCCGCTGGCCTAACTTCATCATGTTTCCACTTTAGGTGGCTTAGCAGGGCACTCCTTGTCTTGAAATTAAGCCCACACTTAGGACAAGGAAACAACACAACTATTGTTAGAGAGTCATGGTTACTCCTACCGTTTACCCGCGCTTGGATGAATTACTTGACTTTGACACTCAGAGCACTGGGCAGAAATCACATTGCGTCAACACCAGTCACCAGCCAATCGCAATGCTTTGTTTTAATTAAACAGTCGGATTCCCCTTGTCCGTTCCAGTTCTAAGTTGGTTGTTAATCGCCTGCCGAATCGACCTGACGGTCACAGCTGAGTCAATCCACCCGAAGTCCCTTCGCAGTCCGACTTCGACGCGCAGCAAGCCATGCATCTCCGTCAGCCCACGCTGAGTACTCGCGCTTCACCAATCCTTTTCCTGAAGTTACAGATCTATTTAGCCAACTTCCCTTACCTACATTGTTCTATCAACTAGAGCCTGCACACCTTGGAGACCTGCTGCGGTTATGAGTACGACCAGACAAGAAAATGAATGACTCGCTCGGATTTTTAAGGGCCGTCGAAAGCGCACTGGAAGTTTGGGGCTTTACCGGACATGAAACCCTATCTCCGGCTAAACCGATTTCCGGGTAACGTTGCCCGTTAAAAAGAAAAGAGAACTCTTCCCGGGGCTCGCCGACGTCTCCGAGTTCGGTTGCATTGCCGCTTGTGCCACTAGGTGGCAGTATCCCTGTTCTGGTTCGGAATATTAACCCGATTCCCTTTCGATAGGCGGTCCGCGAATGGACGCTTTGTAATGGAATTTCCCTATCTCTTAGGATCGGCTAACCCATGTCCAACTGCTGTTCACATCGAACCTTTCTCCACTTCAGTCTTCAAAGTTCTCATTTGAATACTTGCTACTACCATCAAGATCTGCACCGGCGTCCGTTTCACCCTGGCTCGCACCAAAGGCTGCGTCACAAGCGCAGCACCCTCCTACTCGTCGGAACGTTGCGCTTGCTCCGACGGCCGAGTATAGGTGCGACGCTTGAGCGCCATCCATTTTCAGGGCTAGTTGATTCGGCAGGTGAGTTGTTACACACTCCTTAGCGGATTCGACTTCCATGGCCACCGTCCTGCTGTCAATATCAACTAACACCTTTTGTGGGATCTGATGAGCGTTGACTTCGGCACCTTAACTCGGCGTTCGGTTCATCCCGCATCGCCAGTTCTGCTTACCAAAAATGGCCCACTAAGAGCTCGCATTCGAGTGTCCGGCTTCAATTGAGCAAGTCAGACTTCTTACCAATTTAAAGTTTGAGAATAGATTAAGGTCATTTCGACCCTAAGACCTCTAATCATTCCCTTTACCTGATAAAACTGCATGTATGAACTCCAGCTATCCTGAGGGAAACTTTGGAGGGAACCAGCATCTAGATGGTTCGATTAGTCTTTCGCCGCTATACCCAAATTCGACGATCGTTTTGCACGTCAAAATCGCTACGAGCTTCCACCAGTGTTTCCGCTGGCTTCACCCTATTCAGGCATAGTTCACCATCTTTCGGGTGCCAACAGATACGCTCTTACTCAAACCTCCCTGAGAGCAGGCAAGGTCGGTCGATGATGCGGCGACGAATGTGAACGCCGCTTCTCACCTCAACCGTCCGAGGACGGCCTTTACTTTCATTGCGCCCACGGATTTCGATCACCCGGAGACTCGCGCACATGTTAGACTCCTTGGTCTGTGTTTACAGACGGGTCGGATGGAGCCGTATGGTCGTCAGCATCCTAGGCGCGTAGTGTGCGAACACCGTCACGATCGACGGGCAGCGGTTCGAGCGCACAGGCGTGCCGTCTGCCACGGTCGACATGCCGGACCGATCGGTCGGGTCGCCAGCCAAGCACGCACAGCAGACCATGGTCGCCGGTGAGCTATGTGAGCGCAAGTCTTAACAACCAGACGCGAGGCCAGTCCACCTTCATTGCCATGTACGGGGTGGTCACCCTCTGTGACCTGCTGTTCCAAGCAACTTATGTAGACTCGTTGCGCTGGGAAAGTACTTCTCGAAACTACAATTCGCCGCTGCAACACAACGAAGATTTTCAAAAAGTTGAGCTGTTCCCTCTACTTTGCCATTACTGGGGAATCCTTGTTAGTTTTTTTTCCTCCGCTTAGTAGTATGCTTAAATTCAGCGGGTATTCTTGCCTGATCTGAGGTTAATGAATGAATGAATTGAATATGTTGCGCGCGTCGGCCGGCACGCGCGAAACGAAGAGCTCTTTTGCTATACAATAGTTTAGGCTTCGTTCGCGCGTCGGTAACGTCGCGACGGCAACATGTGCTGCACTTTGAGGGACGCGCAGCTTCAAGCTGCGGCACGATGCCCCAATCGAGTCGAAACCGACTCGGCGTTTTGTTACCCAACACTGAGACAGACATGCTCCCGGTATAACCGAGAGCGCCATTTGGGTTCAAAGATTTGATGATTCACTGAATTCTGCAATTCACACTACGTATTGCAGCTGGCTGCGTTCTTCATCGATGCACGAGCCAAGAGATCCACCGTTAAAAGTTGTATATTTTGCGTAAAAAATATAAAACACACAGTTAAACTTCGACGTGTTGTGTTTGAAAAAGTAAAATGGGGAGGCCGGGCAATGGCGAAATGAAGCGCTCATCGCGTTTCAAGATCGATGTGTCCATCCACCGAACATTTAAGAGCGAACGAGCGCTCACCTCCATTGTGGTTTGTAAGTTACAGCGTGTTCGATTGCCGATCGAAACGTTGATGATCCTTCCGCAGGTTCACCTACGGAAAGCTTGTTAGGACTTTTACTTCCTCTAAATGATCAAGTTTGACCAACTTTTTGGACGTCCGTCGGATGGGCCGAAGCCCATCTGACAGTGCCAATCCGGAGGCCTCACTAAACCATTCAATCAGTAGTAGCGACGAGCGGTGTGTACAATGGGCAGGGACGTAATCAACACAAGCTGATGACTTGCGCTTACTAGGAATTCCTCGTTCAAGATCAAGAATTACAATGATCTATCCCCAGCACGACGATGATTCACAAGATTACTCACACCTTTCGGTGAAGGAGCGACTCGTTGCCATCGTCAGTGTAGCGCGCGTGCGGCCCAGGACATCTAAGGGCATCACAGACCTGTTATTGCCTTCCTGACTTTGGTTAAACACGCAACAGTCCCTCTAAGAAGTCGAGAGCGATTCGCGAATCGTCTGACTATTTACCAGGTCAAGGTCTCTTTCGTTAACGGAATTAACCAGACAAATCACTCCACCAACTAAGAACGGCCATGCACCACCACCCATAGAATCAAGAAAGAGCTCTCAATTTGTCAATCCTTACTATGTCTGGACCTGGTGAGTTTTCCCGTGTTGAGTCAAATTAAGCCGCAGGCTCCACTCCTGGTGGTGCTCTTCCGTCAATTCTTTAAGTTTCAGCTTTGCAACCATACTTCCCCTGGAACCCAAAAACTTTGGTTTCCCATAAGGTGCCAACACGGTCATCAAATAACACTCGTTGATCCCTAGTCGGCATCGTTTATGGTTAGAACTAGGACGGTATCTGATCGTCTTCGATCCTCAATCTTTCGTTCTTGATTAATGAAAACATTCTTGGCAAATGCTTTCGCATTAGTTCGTCTTTCGTAAACCCAAGAATTTCACCTCTGACAACGAAATACGAATGCCCCCAACTGTCCCTATTAATCATTACTTCGGTTCCAGAAACCCGACAAAGTGCCCAATCAACCCACACTAAGAGGGGAACAACTCAAGGTCTCCCGAACATGTTCAACAAAGTGCCCAGTCAACCCGCACTAACACGGGAACAACTAGAGGTTTCCCGAACATGATCGACAAAGTGCCCAGTCAACCCGCACTAAGAGGGGAACAACTCGAGGTCTCCCAAACATGTTCTACAAAGTGCCCAGTCAACCCCCACTAAGAGGAGAACAACTCGAGGTCTCCCGAACATGTTCGACAAAGTGCCCAGTCAACCCGCACTAAGAGGGGAACAACTCGAGGTCTCCCGAACATGTTCGACAAAGTGCCCAGTCAACCCGCACTAAGACAAGAACAACTCGAGATCTCCTGAACATCTTCGACAAAGTGCCCAGTCAACCCGCACTAAGAGGGAAACAACTCGATGTTTTTTGAACATGTTCGACAAAGTGCCCAGTAAACCCGCACTAAGAGGGGAACAACTCGAGGTCTCCCGAACATGTTCGACAAAGTGCCCAGTCAACCCGCACTATGAGGGGAACAACTCGTGGTCTCCCGAACATGTTCGACAAAGTGCCCAGTCAAACCGCATTAAGAGGGGAACAACTCAATGTTTTCCGAACATGTTGAACAAAGTGCCCAGTCAACCCGCACTATGAGGGGAACAACTCGACCCGACGCACGCCCTCTCCCCGAACGATTGTTCAACAAAGTGCCCAGTCAACCTGCACTAGGAGGGGAACAACTCGAGGTCTCTCGAACAAGTTCGACAAAGTGCCCGGTCAACCCACACTAAGAGGGGAACAACTCAAAGTCTCCCGGACATGTTCGACAAAGTGCCAAGTACTCCCGCACTAAGAGGGGAACAACTGGAGGTCTCCCGAACATGTTCGACAAAGTGCCCAGTCAACCCGCACTAAGAGGGGAACAACTCGAGGTCTCCCGCACATGTTCAACATGCTAAACACAGGCACAAGACCGATAGCGAACAAGTACCGTGAGGGAAAGATGAAAAGGACTTTGAAAAGAGAGTTAAAGAGTACGTGAAACCGTTGAAAGGAAAGCGAATGGAGTTAGCAATTTGCCCCGCCAGATTCAGTCACTCGCGCATCGCGACGGTCGCGCTCTCGATCCGCATGGACGAGGCGCGCTCGGACGTGGTGCGAGGACGGCGCACTTCTGGTGAGCGAGCGTCAGCGTCGGTTGTCGACGGGCGATAAGGTCGCAAGGAAGGTGGACCGGCCTCGTGGCTGGTTGTTAAGACTTGCGCTCGCATAGCTCGTCGGCGAATGTGGTCTGCGGCGTGTGCTCGGCTGGCGACCCGACCGATCAGACTGGCATGTCGACCGTGAGGGTGTTCACACACTACGCGCCTAGGATGCTGACGACCATAGGGCTCCATCCGACTCGTCTTGAAACTCCGACCAAGGAGTCTAACATGTGCGCGAGTCTCCAGGTGATCGAAACCCGTGGGCGCAACGAAAGGAGGGCCGTCCTCGGACGGTTGAGGTGAGAAGCGGCATTCACATTCGTCGCCGCATCATCGACCGACCTTGTCTGCTCTCAGAGAGGTTTGAGTAAGAGGGTATCTGTTGGGACCTGAAAGATGGTGAACTATGCCTGAATAGGGTGAAGCCAGCGGAAACACTGGTGGAAGCTCGTAGCGATTCTGACATGCAAATCGATCGTTGAATTTGGGTATAGCGGCGAAAGACTAATCGAACCATCTAGTAGCTGGTTCCCTCCGAAGTTTCCCTCAGGATAGCTGGAGTTCATACATGCAGTTTTATCAGGTAAAGCGAATGATTAGAGGTCTTAGGGTCGAAATGACCTTAACCTATTCTCAAACTTTAAATTGGTAAGAAGTCCGACTTGCTCGATTGAAGCCAGACACTCGAATGCGAGCTGTTAGTGGGCCATTTTTGGTAAGCAGAACTGGCGATGCGGGATGAACCGAACGCCGAGTTAAGGTGCCAAAGTCGACGCTCATCAGATCCCACGAAAGGTGTTAGTTGATATTGACAGCAGGACGGTGGCCATGGAAGTCGGAATCTGCTAATGAGATGTAACAACTCACCTGCCGAATCAACAAGCCCTGAAAATGGATGGCGCTCAAGCGTCGCACCTATACTCGGCCGTTGGAGCAAGCGCGACGTTCCGACGAGTAGGAGGGCGCGGCGGTCGTGACACAGCCTTTTGCGCGAGCCTGGGTGAAACGGCCGCCGGCGCAGATCTTGGTGGTAGTAGCAAATATTCAAATGAGAACTTTGAAGACTGAAGTGGAGAAAGGTTCCATGTGAACAGCAGTTGGACATGGGTTAGCCAATCCTGAGAGACCGCCTATGGAAAGGGAATCGGGTAAATATTCCCGAACCAGGGATACTGCCACCTAGTGGCACAAGCGGCAACGCAACTGAACTCGGAGACGTTGGGGAAAGCCCCGGGAAGAGTTCTCCTTTCTTTTTAACGGGCAACCTTACCCTGAAATCGGTTTAGCCGGAGATAAGGTTTCACATCCGGTAAAGCCCCAAACTTCTTTTGGTGTCCGGTGCGCTTTCCACGGCCCTTGAAAATCCGAGCGAGTCGTTCATTTTCTTGTCTGGTCGTACTCATAACCGCAGCAGGTCTCCAAGGTGAGCAGCCTCTAGTTGAGAGAACAATGCAGGTAAGGGAAGTCGGCAAAATAGATCCGTAACTTCGGGAAAAGGATTGGCTGTAAGGGTTGGGTCTTTCGGGCTGGGACTTGAAGCGCGAGGACTCGGCGTGGGCTGACGGAGATGCGTGGCCTGCTGCGCGTCGCAGTCGGACTGCAAAGGGATTTCACGTGGATTGATTCAGCAGTGACTGTCAGGTCGATTCGGCAGGCGATTAACAACCAACTTAGAACTGGAACGGACAAGGGGAATCCGACTGTTAAAAAAAAACAAGCATGGCTGGTGACTGGTGTTGACGCAATGTGATTCTGCCCAGTGCTCTTAATGTCAAAGTGAAGTAATTCATCCAAGCGCGGGTAAACGGCGGGAGTAACTATGACTCTCTTATGATAGTCTTACGCTGCCTGACATGATGCGTGAGACTTAAAGGCAAGAGCTCCTTCGCAAAGGTTAAAGCTAAAATTGCTGAAAACTGAGCAGAATTGGACGTGGGTTGCGGCCCCTCCTTTTCACTAATATACCATCTGAGCGAAAAAGTTCAACCCTATTTCCATCTACAAGTCCCACCTGATTATCAGGTAACTGGCCTAACCTCCACGTGGTGCGTAAGGTTAGTAGCTTAGAGTGTGTATGCCGTAAGCCTCCAACGGTGATTCTTTAAGAACTACTCACTCGAGTGAAGCTAATAAGGCCAGTGCTCCGGCATTTGCAGTCAATTTTGATAAAATTATTGTGAGAAAAAGCCTTGTCTCTATAAGGCTTCTGACTGCCACTTCGCAGTTTTCGTTGATATTGGATTGTGATCAATATGCATCCCTGCCCGGAATGTGGTGTCGGTTTTAAAACCAAAAGTGCCCTAATAAGCCACCACAGATGGAAACATCAGCGTGTTAGTGCGACGGGGCAGGCGCGCAAGGTAAGGCAATGGAAATGTGTCCCGATTGCGGTAGCGCCTTTAAAGGCCTGGCAGGTCTGGCAAAGATGAAGGCCAGGTGGTCCCATGAAGAGCTTGTTCTAGTGGCCCATGCGGACTTGGGAATCCGTAGAACTAAACCTTGTGAGCGAATTGTTCGTGCCCTGCACTCGAGATTTCCCGATTGATCCTTTGAGGCCATCAAGTGTCTGCGATCTAAAAACCCTCGCTATGCAGAGGTTGTCGCAGCGCTTGAGGTCGAGAGGTTAAGTCAAGAGAGCTCGGCAGCGGAAGTTTCCACTGTTCCCTCGACTACTCCACGTAACCTTAGCGATCTGGGAGATAATACATGGGCAGAGCAGCTTAAATTGGGTATCAACATCAATCACCTATGTGTAGATGATCTGGATTGGGTGGTGGAGGGTTGTCCTGACCAGGGAGTGCGAGATATGCTTGACAAGGTGTTTGCGTCATGGGTTAGTCATGTTGTACGTGGAGAGAGGCCACCTTTACGGGGCAGTCGATCTACTGCAACTGACCCTGGTCGTTTATTAGATCCGCGATGGCGCAGACATGCACAGTACAGTGCTATTCAGCACTTGTACGGACGCAAACCATCTGCGTGTGCAAATAAAGTGCTGGATGGGTCTTGGGTGAATCCTTACCCTGGCGAGTCCCCTTGCCTTGAGCAATTTTCCCAAGCCTGGCAGCCAATCTTTGAGACTCCATCCATTAGAGATGATCGTCAAGTGACTTGTGTTTGACCGGTGCAGTGGGATCTTCTGCGTCCAGTAACACCTGTTGTCCAGTAACACCTGTTGAACTTGAGAAGGTGTTATCTGAGGGTGCTTCATCTGCACCTGGCCCTGATGGAGTGAAGTTGAAGGAGGTAATTGGGCTTGGGATGGATGAGCTTTGTAGCCATTATAACCTTTGGCTACTGTGTGGAAGTCAGCCCAGCGCTTTATGCATTGGCAGGACAGTTTATATCCCGAAAGGCTCTCAGTCCAATGACGCTCTCAAGTATCGTCCCATAACCATTGCCTCTCATATCTTGCGGGCCTTCCATAAAGTAATGGCTCGCAGATTTGATGCGTACCTGCCCTTGAAGCATACGCAGAAAGGATTCAGGAGTGGTGATGGGATTGCTCAGCATGTGTTTACGCTGCAGGCCATCATTGATGGAGCTAAGTCACAATTAACATCTTTGAACTTGGCCTTCCTTCACGTACGCAAGGTCTTTGATTCGGTAAGCCATGAGACCATTGTTTTAGCAATGCGTCGACTTGGCTGCCCTGATCCGCTCCTTGCGTACATACGGGAATTATACGTGCGTTCGAGCACTGTTTTTGAGCACAACGGAGAAAGAAGCGTCCCGATCTTCACCCATCGAGGCGTCAAACAGGGTGATCCATTGTCGCCTTTTTTGTTCAACTCGGTATTAGACTGGGCTCTATCTTCCCTTAAAGGGAAATAGCAATATATTTTTTTATTTTCTCATTTGAAAGAACTTTGAAAACTGTATTTAATTCTCTTTTGCCGTTTTTTATATGTTGCTTACTTCTACAAATATTTTGATCGAAAGGAATGAAATATCCGCCATCTTGGATAATTTTTTATCTCATTAACGGTAGTTTTGGTGACGTCACAACAGGGGTTAGCCATATAAAAGTATTCGTTGCTGGCCAAATATTGATTGGTAGATGTTTTAAAGGTGTTGAGTGATCTTGATATTTCGAAGAGCAAACAGAATATAGTTTTGAGTGCAAAATGATTGGTGGTTGTCGAGATAGAAATATTGCGTGACCCATGTTGTGACGTAACTGTATATCTACAAAAATCCAAGATGGCGGATATTTCATTCTTTTCGATCAAAATATTTGTAGAAGTAAGCAAGATATAAAAAAACGGTAAAAGAGAATTAAATATAGTTTTCAAAGCTCTTTCAAATAAGAAAATAAACAAATATATTGCCATTTCCCTTTAACGACCACTTGGGATATTCACTTACCACTTTACTTGTTAAGGCTTATTGTTATGAAAACATTTGGATACCCGAATTGACGAACAGCATCTATCAAGAATCGATGATGCTATTTCCAGTACTCTAAAGAAAACGTTTTAGTTGAAAGTGCAGTTGCAGCAGAAGTGTCAAAAGCCCTGGAAGTTGATATAGCGCCAGAGACAGTGGTAAAAATCCATCTATCATAGACAAATTGCAGTAAATTGTAATAGAGAGAATAGTCTAGGATTTCACTTAAGATTTTCATTGTAAATGACACTTTGGCGAGAAGTGTTCCCAGATAATTTAGTCTCACACCAATCATGAAATGGATAGAGGTGAGGCCAAAGGGCACATTCGATGCCATCGTTCTCTCTAAAATCATTGAGATTCAATTGTTTACCATCCTTTAAGTGTTGTTCTCGTAATAAAATAAAATGATTGTAACGTGATTTTTCACAAGTCGTTAGAAACCTGTATGCTAACATGCACTTGAGATAGCTACCGGAATCAAGTTTGGAAATTTTTTCAAGCACTGATTCTTCAGACCACGACACTCGACAAAAGCCATCCTTCTGTCTATAGCCATGCTGATTGATGCACTTTGTAGTCGCCTGAATGTAGCGTTAGTGGATGAAGGGCTAATATTTCTGATCATGTAAGACCATGCAAGCATAGCGGGATTTCCACTTTTTGAGGTATATGGTAGCG